CTTAGCACCCAGTTATGAGTGAGAACATGCAGTATTTCTCTTTCCTTGTCTGGCTTATTTCTCTTAACATACTTTTCTCCAGACTCATCCATGAAGATACTAGAGATGGGAGGGGAGGCAGAGTGGGGTTTTGCAGAGGGAGAGCTTGGGTAAAGGGCATAAAGAAAAATCATGATTTGTAATAATGACTATGCTTATAATAAATAAATTAATTTTTAAAAAAGAAAATACAGAAAAAGACTACATTTCCCTATATTGTCTTCCATAGAATGCCATGTAAGCCAATTCACCATCAATATTTTAATTATCAAACACTGACACAACAGTTGTTCTGAGCAGTTTATAAATATTAACCCATTCCATCCCCACAGCCATCCTAAAAGGTACCTTGTGAAATACAGGAAAATCTAGAGTAACACCTTCCTCCTAATCTAATTTTCCCCTCTGATTATTAAGTTAATTTAAGAAAATGAAGTGTATGCTTTAATTTTACTGCGAAAAGCACCTAATTTGCTTTATACATGGAAATCAATAATATTCAGACTTGCTCCCTGCCCCATGCACTCAAATGATGGAATTGGATGGTTTCAAGGATGTACTTATCAATAGAACAACAAAAACATCTTTTTCAGAACTACTAAACTTCACATCATGTTTTTCTTCAAAGAGTCAGTTCTCTGAAAAAATGCAGCAACATTTTTTCTGTTCTAGCAACAGGGACTGCTAGAACAGATTCCAAGGGTTAAAGAAAAACCCAAGAAACAAAGAAAAATTCTCCCTTTGGCCACTCGCAAAATAAGTGTGCTACCTGAGATGCTGAGAAAGTAAGATTCAGTGTCCCAAAACATAAAACAAAAATATGTGGCTACTTTTCTTTCTTCACCGAAGATCTTTCTTAGAAATTGTGAACTCAAAAATGTCTGTTACATCTTTTATGACCTATCAGCTTCCAATTCCAAAGGGGAAAAGAAAATGACTTCTGATTTCATATAGATACAAAATACATTCTCTATCTAGCAGAAGTTGAATG